GCATTATGTAGCCTCTCTTGGGAAGCTGGCGAGGTCCACAGCCAGCACTTCCCCAAAGAGGGTTGGTGAGTTTTTAAACCCCTGTGGGAGGCGCGTCCAAGTCAGTTGTATCTGGCGCCCTGTATCAGGATTAGTCCATTCAAAGGCAGACAGTGGCTGGCTCTGGGGAGCTAAGCAGAGGCAGAAGAAGGCATCCTTCAAATCTAGGCAAGTGAACAATCTGGCCAACCCTGGGATTTGGCCAAGGAAGGTGTATGGATTCGGGATCACTGGGTGCAGAGAGATGGTCACCTTGTTGATGGTCCACAGGTCTTGAACTGGTCGGTATCCCCCTCCTGGCTTCTTGACTGGCAGGAGTGGGGTATTCCAGGCTGACTGGCACTTGACTAGAATACCTGCTTTTTTGAGTTTGGTCAGATGTTCTTGGATGCCAATCTTAGCTTCTTGTAGAAGGGAGTATTGCCTTTGCCTCTGAGGTTGGGCTCCTGGGATCAGTTCAACAATGTTAGGGGCCCAATTCTGGGCTAGTCCAGATGGGTTGTTCTCAGCCCATACTGAAGGTAAGGCGAGTCTGAACTCTGGCGGGCTGCTCGGTTGGGCCTGGGCACAGAATAGCCTCCATTCTTCTTCCCTTGGTGTGGTAATTGCTAGTCTCCTCTTGCCTTGGGTTCAATCAGAGGCTAGTGTGTCCTGTGGGCTCAATGGTTATTTGAGTCCCAAGCTTGGAGAGTATGTCTTGGCCCAGGAGAGGGCTGGAGCATCAGGCAGATAAAGGAATTCACGTTGGACCTTGTGGCCCCCGAGTTCGCACTGGCGAGCCTGGCAAAAGGGCTGTTGTATCGCCCGCATCCCGGTGGCCCCGAGGATGGTCGCAGTCCTTTTGCTGAAAGGTGCCACTGGGGAGGTGACAAGAGTTTTCGGCCCCAGTATCAACCATAAAAGTCACTGGTTGGCCCCCCACCTTCATTTTGACTGTGGGCTTATGGGGGCCAAGGAGGAAAGAGCCCAGTCCCCCTCAGTCTGAGTCCATTCCCTCAAGGCTTATGAGGTCCTCCTCTCAGGGTTCTTCCTTATAATGGCTGAGCTTTTGAGTCTTTCCCCGGTTGGGACATTCATTTTTCCAATGCCCTTTCTCTTTACAGTAGGCACATTGATCCCTTGCCAAGGGGGTCCTGGGCTTCCCCACTTTTGGTGGTTGGGGTCTCCCCATCTTTGTGTTGTCTTTTTCTTTCCGGGCGGTGGCGAGGAGGCTGACTTTCTTTTTCATCTTTTTGTCAGCTTCCCATTCGGCTGTGACCTCCTTGTTCATGTAGACCTTATTGGCAATCTCTATTAGTTGGGTGATGTTCATTCCGGCAAAACCCTCTAGTTTCTGAAGTTTTTTTCTGATGTCTGGGGTGGCCTGAGCCATGAAGGAGGTGTTTACCATCTGTTGGCTTTCCTGTGCCTCAGAGTCAAATGGAGTGTATATCCTGTAGGTTTCACATAGCATTTCGTAGTAGTCCCCGGGGGATTCCCCTGGTTGTTGAGTGACCGAGGATACCTTAGTCATGTTCATGGGTTTCTTAGCTGCTGCCCGGATTCCCCAGAGGAGGGCCTCCTGGTACCAGCAGATGTGGGCCTGTCCCTCAGTTGTGGTGAAGTCCCATGCTGGGCACTCTTCAGGTGCGTCCATATTAGCCCAGGCAGCAGGATCAATGACTCCCACTGGTGCATGATCTTCCAGGTACTGCTGTGCACCTTTCATTATTCTCCTCCTTTCCTCTGTGTTAAACAGGGTGCGGAGTAACTGTTGGCAGTCTTCCCAGGTTGGCCGATGAGTCTGGAAAAGGGATTCTATGAGGTGTACCATAGCCTGTGGTTTCTCAGAGTAGGATGGGGTGATGTTTCCAATTGAGGAGGTCGGTGGTGGAGAAGGGCTGATAATACATCACGGAACAGCCACATTGGACTGTCCCATCTTCATCGTGACTCTGGGGTTCCTGCGTCTCTCATACCGGCATTTGGATGGTGCTTGCACCCGGCCTGCGGTACAGCCTGGTTGCTGGTCCTGGAGATAGTGGATCTTTTGGGCCTGGGGGTGCTGGTAGATCCTCTGGGCCTGGGGGCACCAGTGGATCTTCTGGGCCTGGGGGTACCAGTGAAACCGATGGTGGCAGAGTATCTGGAGCTGAAGGGCCAGGTGTAGATGGTCTTGGGGGTACGTACAGTGGGGGCAGGGTTGGTTCATCCTTGGGATATCCGGCTAGGATTTGTGGATACTGGGGTTTTTGCTGATTTTCTTTAGGTTGCTTGGATGAGGTGATTAAGACTCAAATGAATCGCACCCAGTGAGGAAGGGTCTGAACAACTCCTAGCCAGGAGTCCTGGCCAGGAGTCAATGAACAGAAACTGGTCAGGGTGTCCTGGTTCTGCTGTTACAACTCGCCATACTCGACAAATCGTTGGGGCATCCAATGTCCCCTCTGAAGGCCACCTGACATCAAAAGCGGGCCACTCCAGTTCATATAGGATTCTCAACTTGCCGGGGTTCATCCTGACTCCATAGTCTCCCAAAAACCCCTTCTTGAACTTTTTGATCATGGTCTCTAGGACCATAAGTTTACTCTGCCCTGACCCCATGGTGATGTCCCCATGTGCGGTGGCAGAGACAGACAAAGGGGGGGTGCCTCCTGAGGTGAGGAGACCAATCAGATGCCCATCTGGCCGTGTCCCGAAAGAGCTTAGGTGAGGCTTAACTGTAGCAGTCTGTTTTGTGACTTACGATCAGAAACTATTCAGATGCCACCATAGACTGTATGCCTTTCACCACAGAATCACAGATGGGCCCACATAGACTCTGTAGGCTTCTGGGGACCTTAAGGGTGCCTGCCCGTGGAGTCACAGAATCAATCCGCTTGAGCAAGCCAGGTCAGACTGCACTTTCACTCACACATTCATACTCCAGAAGTTATTACATTCCCTCCCTGGGAATCCCTACCTGTAAGAGCTCTAAGAGGTCTCTGGGAGGTGATCAGGCTCCCCTTCCACCGCAGTGGGGGTGGGCCTGTCTGGGTCCTGGGGCCCATGGCCTTACCGGAATCTGACGTTGAGACCCGGTCCTCACCTGCCAAGTCTCCTCAAGTCCGGCGGGAAGAATGGAGCGGGGTTGTCCTGAGGCGACCGGGGCGGGAGACTGCCAAAAATTAGGCAGGGCGCACCTCCTCCATTTCAATCCCTCATTCAGTCACCGTCCCGCCGTTGCCCCCAAACTGGTGGCAACAATGGGCCAGCGTGGTTGGGTTTCCCGGTCAGGGAACCAAATGTTACGGAACCTGGACTGGATCGCCCGATGGAAGAACCAAGCAGCACCCGGAGATCTTGGAGGACAGGAGGTTCATTGAACGCTGGCGGGCTCAGAGGAGAGTGGTCTCCAAAGGTATGAGCCCCGAGCACAACCAAAGGGGACAATTTATACACTTCTACTTCCGCATACTTGGCACTTGTGGCGGAGCAAGGAGAAGAACCTGGAAGAGCCCCGGGGCAAGGACTGGGACTCTCTCACTGGCTCGGTCGGCCATCTTAGGACACAGATTTTCCTTATGACTGAGGCCTCTCTTCCAGCTTGCAGGTAGCCACCTTCTCATTGTGCCCTCTTGTGGTCTTCATCTGTGTGTGCACATCCCTGGTCTCTGGGTATGTTAAAATCTCCTCTTTTTTGAAAAGCACCAGTCACATTGGATTAATGCCCCTCCCTTATGACATCATCTTAACTTACCTCCTTAAAGGCCCGATCTCCAACCAAATACAGTCACAGTGGGGGCTGGGGCTTCAACATATGAATTTGGGGTAACACAGTTCAGCCTATACCCTCCCTTTCTGCTTCTTTCTCTGAGACACAAACTATCACTAAGCCATTCTCCATGGGCCCAGTGTGGATTTGAGAAGGCCTGATCATGGTTTCCTGATGTGATTTTCTTTTTTTTTTTTAAAGATTTTATTTATTTATTTGACAGAGAGACAGCGAGAGCAGGAACACAAGCAGGGGGAGTGGGAGAGGGAGAAGCAGGCTTCCTGCCGAGCAGGACGGCGGGACAGTGACTGAATGAGGGATTGAAATGGAGAAGGTGCGCCCTGCCTAATTTTTGGCAGTCTCCCGCCCCGGTCGCCTCAGGACAACCCCGCTCCATTCTTCCCGCCGGACTTGAGGAGACTTGGCAGGTGAGGACCGGGTCTCAACGTCAGATTCCGGTAAGGCCATGGGCCCCAGGACCCAGACAGGCCCACCCCCACTGCGGTGGAAGGGGAGCCTGATCACCTCCCAGAGACCTCTTAGAGCTCTCCCATGTAGGGATTCCCAGGGAGGGAATGTAATAACTTCTGGAGTATGAATGTGTGAGTGAAAGTGCAGTCTGACCTGGCTTGCTCAAGCGGACTGATTCTGTGACTCCACGGGCAGGCACCCTTAAGGTCCCCAGAAGCCTACAGAGTCTATGTGGGCCCATCTGTGATTCCATGGTGAAAGGCATACAGTCTATGGTGGCATCTGAATAGTTTCTGATCGTAAGTCACAACACTGAGACTGCTACAGTTAAGCCTCACCTAAGCTCTTTCGGGACACAGCCAGATGGGCATCTGATTGGTCTTCTCACCTCAGGAGGCACCCCCCCTTTGTCTGTCTCTGCCACCGCACATGGGGACATCACCATGGGGTCAGGGCAGAGTAAACATCTCCTCCTACCACTCTGAGAACAGGAAATGAGGGATAAGCAGCCTGGTGACTCATCTTAACTTTTCTTACATTTGAGTGTCATTTACAGGAATATAGGTTTCTAATGACCCACATGTAAGTCTGCTGGAGTTCTAATGTTGGAACTCCTTCCATCTACTGACATTTGTAACAAAAACTCAATTATACTTTTGCTATAATCTTTCATTTTGATTAAATACTTACAGGAAGGAAACTGTTTATTTTCTCTGACTAATGAAATCGAAAGTTAAGAGCATCGGAGGGAGGTGTCTCAAAATTGTGTTGCAACTTCTCTCTCCGGGGGACAGCGCAGTTTGAGGAAACCAGCACCAGTGAAGTTTTCAGTGACTCTAAGCAGTGCCATCTGTGCTTGTTATCTTTCAAAATACTTCTTTTTCCTCTGCCCTTCAGGAGATTATCATATCCTGCAGTTCAGTCTCTGGAGCTTTGTTGATTTATCTTCCTCCTCAAGCAAAATAAGCAGTGATTCCTGCATTTCTGAAGAAGACCTCAGGATCCAGACTCCTGGAGATTTTCAGCAAGGTGAGGCCCTGTGGGCTTTCTGTAGACAGCTGTGGGCCCCTGTTGGCTAAGCACAAAACAACCAGGGGGCTTCGGGTATGAAGAATTGGATGGGGCGGGGGTGGGGGGGAGGGGGGCTGGTATCAACTATAGTCGGAGACATGAAAACATTAGTAGCTTGATTCTAATCCTTTAATACTTAGACAAGGAACAGACATGTTTATCCCACCACACCCGACACCTGAACGAAGGGAGATGCATTTTGACTATAGAAGACATTAAAATTTATTTTATTATCACTAAGCCATTCTCCATGGGCCCAGTGTGGATTTGAGAAGGCCTGATCATGGTTTATTGGTTATATTTAGAAAAAGCATTTGGTTTTCTTCCCTAGGTGGTGTCCAGGAAACTCTTGGTGGCCTTGGTAGAGTTCTGGGCAGAAGTCAAGTTAGGGGCATGAGGAAAGTATCAGAACATAATATTAAGTAAAAAATACATCTGGGTTTAAGGCTGCATTGTATGGTCTTATCCTGATTTTAGAAAACACTCACACACACATACATGCACAGAGTAGAAAAAGTTTCACTTCCCCAGACAGTTATGCAAAAACATGACTTCTTTACCTCTCTTAAGACAGTTTAAGTTTTTTTTTAAGATTTTATTTATTTTTTGACAGAGAGAGACAGCAAAAGTGGGAACACAAGCAGGGGGAGTGGGAGAGGGAGAAGCAGGCTTCCTGCAGATCAGGGAGCCCGATGCGGGGCTTGACCCCAGGACCCTGGGATCATGACCTGAGCCGAAGGTAGACGCTTAACGACTGAGCCATCCAGGTGCCCCATGACAGTTTAATTTTTATATTATACTTCAGACTATACCACCAGAGCTTTTATTTCAGTTCCTTTTAACATACTGTCTGCCTTCCTGAAAATTACTGATTTTTTTTTCTAGTGGCAAAGTATAGGGGAGGGGAAGGGAGAATCAGTTACAAATAGACTTTCAGAATTGTTGAGCAATTTTCTGTATGGTCTGTATAATAATATTCCGTATGTGCTTGATTAGAGTATGAGATTTTTAATGCTGATTTCAGAATTTTATGTATGTTACATAAACCTTGTTAATTATGTTTATTAATGTTAGTCCTATTTCCTAAATCTCTGCTGAATTTTTTTACCTTGTTTATTTAGTAATTAAGAGATATGCTAAAATCTCCTACCATAAAATTGTGAGGTTTTTGTCCTGTAGTTCTCTCAAATTTATATATACAATAATATAATATATATTATATATGTAATTATGTATATATGTACACATGTATATAAAATGTGTTTGGATGTGTGAAGAGAAACATGCTACATAATACTACAAATATAATTTTTATATAATATGTAAATCATATATATTTACTATTAGCAGGTAAATACATAGTTACAACTGTTTTGTTTCCCTAGGAGGTCAGCCTTTGTCATTGTGTTGCATTCTGGTGATACCTTTTATCTTCAGGTCTATTTCTTTTTTTTTTTTTTTTTCTTCAGGTCTATTTCAAGCTACACTAGTACAGATAACTGGTTTTCTTTTAGTTACTCTTTGCATGATAAAATATTTTTCTTTCATTTTCCCACCTTTAAGTAATATTTTCTTAACAACTCTATTGGCAGATTTCATAAATGCAGTTTTTTTTTTTCCGTAAATGCAATTTGACTAAATTTGTCACTTAACTGGTTAGGCCATTTAAGTATATGTTGATGATTAACATGTATGGTTTTGTTTCTGCTATCCTCAATTACATTTATGACATTTCTATATTCTCCTTTCTTGTACTTCTGTTCTTGCTTATTTCTTTATCTTACCCTTGAAGACAAATACTTTAGTGAACTGCCTGCCCTGTTCACTGTCCTCCCTCCCTCCACCATGTTGTTGTGCTTCCTGTCTCTCGTCTTCAGTCAGAGCTGTATTTATGTGGAAGACATAGGCACACCTCATCAAGCTCAGTTCCTGCTCTTACTTACCTTTGAGCTTGCAGTATTTCTTGGCTCTATATGTTATTTTTAGTATCGAATATTTCCTCCAATAGATGTTTACATATAGGTCTTTGTCTTACAAACTACCAAGGCCTTGAATATCAGGGAATAGTTTTTGAGGCCCTCACATTTAAATATCATCTTGGCTAGATTAAAATTCACCTCTTAAAATCATTTTGCCCTCAAGATAGGGAGACAGTACCTCTTCTTTTTTTTTTTAAAGATTTTATTTATTTATTTGAGACAGAGAGAATGAGAGAGAGAGAGCACATGAGAGGGGGGAGGGTCAGAGGGAGAAGCAGGCTCCCTGCCAAGCAGGGAGCCCAATGCGGGACTCAATCCAGGGACTCCAGGATCATGACCTGAGCCGAAGGCAGTTGCTCAACCAACTGAGCCACCCAGGCGCCCGACAGTACCTCTTCTGATAGCCCTGGGGCTACATATGTTTTGAAATTCAGAATTGGGGCATTTTAGAAAGGCTATTTAATATGCCTACTTTAAATACTCTAATACTGGACACCGTAGTGGGATCTGGATCATTACTTTAAAATCAAACACACTAATATTTTAGCAATAAAACATATGAACACATTTGAGTGGAATGAATAAAGATTATATATAGCCTCCTGTCACCTTATATCTGGTTTTATTTTGCAAATAAATTATGTTGTCACAGACACAAAACACAAAAATTTTATTTTAAAAATTATTTGGTTTTTAAATCAGTATGGAATTTGGACAAGTACTGTATGAAAATCACCCTATTTCCTGTGGTGGGCAGCTTTGCTGTTGAACATCAGTTTCAATCTGATCCTTGAATCTTTACAGGTGATCTACTCTTTATCTCTGGAAGCTTTCAGAGTTTTTACTTTGTTTTTAATAATCTTCAATTCCCCTATAATATATCTTGAGGATTTATCCTTCACCCTATGGACCTTATCAATCTGGGAGTGTTCACATTTTCTCAAGAAAGAATAATTCACAGCCCTGGGAATTTGAACATGCTAATTATACAAAAAGTACACAAACACACGGACCCTAAATGAACAGAAAATTGGAATTCCTACCATGTACTGAGTGCCATCAAGGAAGTACATAAGGTGCTAAAGAGGCCCAGAGGAGTGACACCCAGTCCCAGATTCTGGGGGCTTTCAGAAGACAAAACCTCAGTGGAATCTTGAAGGCTATAAGGAGGTAGTTGGGGGAAGAAAAGTGAGACTCGCCCTTTAGGAAGCAGAGAGGGAATTAGCCAAGTCATGAAACATGGAAAAGCAAGGTGTGTTGTATATTTCTGGAGCATATGACATACAAAATGCAAAAGTTACAGATGTAAAAAAGATGCAGAGTATTCAAGGCTTTCCAAGCTAGGCTAAGGAGCAAGACATTTTTCAAAACCAAAATGAGGAACTATTGGAGGATGTCATGTGGGATAGAAACGTGGCTCCCTAGAAGGATATCTGGCTCTCCAAAAAGAACTGATAAGAGGAATTCAGCCTAGAAGGGTAAAATCAAGCAACTATTGAAATAATTCCAGACAATAAATGCTGGGTTCCTGCTTTAGCAAGAAAGTAGAACTCCAGCAAAAGGACTACTAAATAGTGCTGGCCAATCAGGGCTGTGATTCTGCACAAGAGAGCAAGGGGAGCAGGACACAGAGGACACAGAGAACATGGTCCAAGCCCCAGGGAGAGAGGATGCAAGAAGGGCTGACTAGGGAAGGGTCAGGTGTGCTGGGCAGGTACCCAGCGGGGAAGACAGTCACCAGGGGTGAGAAGCTGCAGCCCACTCTGCATATGGGCTCTTTCAGGCAGAGTGGGTGGCAGAGTCCGGAGCCAGCAAGCAGACATCCAGGGAGAGACTGCAGCCCCAACACAGGATGGGAGGAGGGAGCGAGCGAGTGGGGACTCTGATGCCCTACAGCCCACACTCCACATAAGGCAGCAGCAAGGCCTCTTTCCAGATCTCCTGCCATCATACCCACCCCCAACCCAAGTCAACTATCATTATTAGAAGGAAAGAATTTCTTAAAAGTCCTGAATACAACAGTTCTCAACTCACAGTGACACACCTGGAAATTAAGTTCCTCTTTGTCACACACACTCAAGGACAACACCATGACATGGGCCACTCACTCACATAGACACAACCAGGCTTTAAATCATCTGGAGAAAGGTATAACACTGTATGATATTTTTCTCTTGCAGGCTCAGCCACACCTGAAGAGATGGGGAGTGAGTATAAGAAAATTATTCTGCTGAAAGGATTACAGCCCATAGACAACTACCAGTTTAGCATGGTTAAGTCCCTACTGGCCTGTGATTTGAGACTGACTACAAAAATGCAAGAAGAATATAACAAGGTCAAGATTGCTGACCTAATGGAAAAGAAGTTCCGGGGGTCTCTCTGTGTGGACAAGCTAATAGATCTATTCAAGGACATGGAAGGACTTGGAGACATTGTTAAAACTCTTAAAAATGAGAAGAAAAAAGGTAATGGACAGGAGCCCTAACTGTCAGGGTCTGGGCCCCCACATCCAGCAGAGCCCTGGTGTTGGCACACCTGAGAGATCCGTTTCTCAATTTCCAACTGGGTAGCTGAGAATGAGATGGCCCTTCAGAACACCAACAAGTTTACAACTTAGATAATTCCTTTCCTACAAAGAGGTCCACTGTATTTTACAGGGTGTATTTTGGGGGTGCCAGTAAAGAAAAAAGCAGAAAGAGTTGACAAGAAAGGCAGAGACTTCTACATATTATGAAGGTTGATCAAGGACAAAAAAATTAGGAAAAATTGTGAGATTTAAAAATACTTCATTCAGTTCATATGCTGCTCTGTTACAATATTTACTCCATCATTACTATATTCTTTAGCAACAAATATGAGGCAATGCTTAAAGAAAAAGCCAACTCTCAGGGATGTGAAGAATTTGCCTCTTCTAAAATCACTGGATCCTAAAAACTTTGTTGTTGTTGTTTTGTTTTGAATCCTAAAAACTTTTTAAAACATCAAGTCCAGTATCACCAATTTGTCACATCACCAATTAGATCAGATTTTCTTTCTCTGGTTTCTGTAATTCAAACAGACCTTCCACAGGAGTTAACCCACCAATTGCATCATGAAAACTGCAAATCCTTTTTTTTAAGATTTTATTTATTTATTTGATAGAGAGAGAGAGGGAGAAGCAGGCTCACCACTGAGTAGGCAGCCCACCGTGGGGCTTGATCCCAGGACCCTGGGATCATGACCTGACCCAAAGGCAGA